TATATTTTATATATATTTGTATCTTTTTATATATATGTAAAATATATTTTCTTTTTCTAAATATCAGGTCAGCCTGGTCAAACTGGCAGCCTCTTGGAACACATCCAAGGTACTGAGTGCCTCTGTTAGGCCCACAGCCTTTTCAGAAGACCCCAGGGAACAGCTGCCTGGAGATCGGGCACTAAATTACAGAGAAAGAGAGAGTGAGCAGCCCTTTTTGAGGTATTTTGTTGCTCCTATCCTAGACATTAATTTTAGGATGTGATGAATCATTCTCAGAAGATCTGTCTTTGTCTGGGAGCACGGATGACTCGTTTAAACTACATACTTATCTTTTAAACTGCTTAAGTTATGTAAATTGGTTATTAGCCTCAGATCCTCAAAAAAAACAGCACTGTGAGGAAGGAGGAGACCTGGAGGTGTATCTTCTAGTTCCACCTCCAGCCCTGCACTTACTGCCTGGAATTGGGGACCAGGGAGGAGGATGCTCACAAAAGTGCTGATATTGTGCAAACCTGTGGCTTGAAGTATATGCATAAAATATGTATAGACCCCCTAACTAGCTATAGTACAATGTCATGGAGGCAAGAAGGGAATTTCTGCAATATGATACAGAAACAAAAGTAACATCTGCATCAGGATGGCGGCATGACATGGTAACACTGATAACGAAGCTTTGAAATGTAAACTTATGTAGGAAAAAAAATCCTATATCCTGAATACAGTTCTAGTGTTTCTGCTTTTCCTTGGAAGAAGTAGGCACTAGACACTGATGGTCTCCCATGCCTCATCATAGGCTATTACTCTTTCCAGCCCACTCCTCTCCTGGATCAGCATCATGGCACTGTTGGAAAGGAAACACAAGCAATGCTATTTACCTGATAACAGCCGTTCCTGAGCCACAGTCAAACCTGAACTCCACGTAACCAGCCACCATGTTAATGGAGAGGAAGTCCTTGCTGCCTGTGTCGTAGCTGTACAAAAGGACACCAGTCTCTAAATCTGGACGAAATGTCATCTCAAACTCCATGAAGGAAAGGTAATTCTGCGGTTCCAAGGGCCAGGGTGTGCTAGCAAATGACCTTAAGGACTCGTTGAACTGAGGTATAGCCAAGGTGAGTGCTGGAAATCCAGAATACACAAGCAGGTCACTTGAGGCTCAAAGGTAAGGGAGTGACTCCTACCAACCAGTGTCAGTTCCCTTTGTTAGGTACTTAAAGCTAACGTTAAGAAAAACAACCTAAAAATTTCATCTTCTAAGTTAAAAATATTTTTTTATCTTAGCCTACACTGCTTCTCTCCTTAATCTCTTCCTTTGCCAGGGATGTATTTGTATCATAAAGCCTTGTGCTCCTTTTCTTTAGTGATTCACCGTAGTGTCTTTCAAAGTAGCAAGCATGAACACAAAGGGTGGCGGGCATGAAAAGTTCTGCAGCACAGAAAATAATGCTGTATGTATTTGACTATTTGTTTTCAGCAAGAAAATGATATCGGGTCCTTTACATTTCAGAATATACAACTGACACTGGTTTTAGGAGAAAAGTGGGGATTTTTTTAAAAGTTAATGTGCAGCTGTGGAGTGGTACATTATTTTAACTGCTGAAAAGTAAGTTTGAGATGCTTAAATAGTTAGTTTAAATAAACAAAGAGGGTTGAGAATCACTGGTTATGTAGATGCTGGATGTAGCCCTAAAGCGAATGATTGGGGAGAGTTTCACTATGTGATTTTAAAAAAGACAAAGTAACAAGCACTCTCTTCTATCAGTGTCACAGCAGAAGACCTCCTTGGATATCACTATGTGAAAATACATTGAACACTAAGTAACACATACAAACACGAGCATCCCAGTATCCCCTCACCTTCTTCGCAATGATGACCTTTAAATCCAAGAGGACAAAGGCAAATGTATGAATCCGCTTTGCTGGCAGTACAGGTACCACTGTTGATGCAGGCGGCCTCGTCACAGATGCCACTGCTACACTCACCTAAACACAGAGCCAGAAGAGTGATTTATTAGAGAAGTTTGTCAAAGAAGATTTATTTGGCTGTTGATCATTGCTACTAACCAATATGATTTGCTCTCCTGCCTAGATTCTGTCCCAATTTGTCAAATGCTGTGCAATTTAGACAAGGTAACTTGATTTTTAGCACTTTTTTTTTTTTTTTTTTGTTAGTATCAGACCAGGAAGAGACCTTGAAAATAGCAAAAATTAGCCCTTATCAACAAACCATGACAGCTGTAGCTTTCAATCGTTCCCTGGATTACTTTTCTTCTGCTCTTGTTCCTATCTTTATTTTCTCATAAAATAGAAATCTCTCCAGATTGTTTACAAGCACTGTGACTTGTTTAATCTCAATTACCTTAAGTGCTTCTTTGTTCGCTGTAAATTCATGCCATGGTTAGCACAGAAGGTGTTAATCATCATCAACTAATCTTATTAACTAAAAAGAGGGTGTCAGCTCACTTGTCTGCACTGAAAAGGATCAATATCATCAGCATATGGGCTTTTTAAGAGGCATTTTTGCTATGCTGGCACATCAACTTCTTGCTGGAATTAAGCTGAAATTGTTTTAGAACAAATAATTTACTCATTTACTTCTTAAAACTGCTATCTATAAAGCTGGCTTATGCAAAGGTCAAATGTACATCTGATGAAGATCTTGTTGATTTTGTTTACTTTCTTCCTTATTTTAGTTTCTGATTAAATTTCTCCTCTCGTTGATAGTAACAAACTGATCTTATACACTAAGAAATCCTGAATAAGACATTTGTGATGTACAAGTGTGAGCACGTCATTTGGAGGAGCAAAGCGTTTACGACAAACTAAGAACTGAACATCTACTTTGAGGCACATTGGAATATCGCCTCTGAGATGACACAGGTGTTGTGAGGCAGCTCTGACAATAAACACCAGAGCACAGTTTTGCTACTTGAGGTGACTGGGAGAAGTCTCACAAAACTACTGCAGGAAGGGGATAAGCCCTTTTTGTTTTGTTTAAATACAGCATTCTTACTGAAAAGACAGTTCCCAGACCAGGACTCTACAAATCTTCAATGAGATACTGGTGTTAGTACAGCGCCAGCTCCACAGGTTGGTTTCCTATCCCACAGCCAGAAAGAAAAGCACAGAGAAGTGTGCAGATGTAAATAGCTGATGCGCTGGTTCATCCCGATCACTCTGCTGTCCTCCAGTGGAAAATAACCTTTTGTCACCAACTCAGGACAGAGGCAGTAACAACTCTTGAGTCATCTGGCACAACTGCCTACCAGAACAGACTTATTTCATATTGCACGTCTACAAATCTCTTTCCAGGCCCATTTTTCGTTGTAGAGAGGGAAGGTCCCAGTGCAGCAGTCATAACACAGGACTCCAGGTCTCACCTAAGGACCATGGGCAAAATATACAGGACCCCTGGACGGAAACAAGGGAGGGGGGAACAATTCTACATGGAAGGGGACATAATTGTCCCCTTCAAATGGCTGCCCTACATCCCGCCGTGGGAGCAGGGGTGCTCACAGGGCTCTCTGAGCCATCTTTTCCCCTTCTAGGGTGCATTGTAATGGCCACGGTGAACCAGAACAGGATGGATATCTAGTCTCTGAGATCCCTCATATACTCCTCAATTATCACAATGGTGACAGAAACGAGTAGCACTGTCTCTGTTTTATAGAGCAAAGACATGTGGGTAAACAAGGATCTAGATGTGTCGAGTTTGAGACAGAAGTAGAAAACTAAAACAATGCTCGTCTTTACTGCATCTGCTGCTCCATTAGTCAATCTGGCAGTATGTTAGAACAGAGCAAAGTTAAACAAAGTCTTTGAGAAAGACAAAACGACAAGGAAAATAACAATTAGGAGACAAGTCGCAAGCTCACTGGTTTGAGGAACAGCTTGAACTGGGGCAGTCTCAGTATTTAAGGACATGCTGCTCTCACAATGTCTCAGTGACTTATTGCAGCCTTTGGTAGCACAGGTGGCTACACCAAAAAGGCAAACCACAGGTCTGAAGGCTGCGACTGCTTGGATGCAGAGGCAGATGAGGAAGGAGGGAAGCTGCAGCGAGAGTACAGGGTCCTGCTGTGCCTGCTCCAAATCACGTGCACTGTCTCCCCTGTCAGCCCCTTAGCTCATGGTCCAGTGGGACTTCTACTGCAGATGGCAGAGATGGAGCAGGGACAGGATGGACTTCTCTCCCCCTCACCCTCAGTTTTGAGGTCCGTGGATCACAGCACCTCTGATTTATGTACTGTGCCAATAGGAAACAAATAAAAGACAGGCTAGCAAAAAGCATCCCTAAACCCTAGTAGAGTTCACTTGCAATTTACTTATTTTAAATTTAACTTAGGTGGCACATTGTCCCATCCCTGGAAGTGTTCAAGGCCAGGTCGGACGAGGCTTTGAGCAACCTCGTGTAGTGGAGGGTATCCCTGCCCATGGCAGGGGGAACTAGATGATCTTTGAGGTCCCTTCCAACTCGAACCATTCTAGGATTCTATGATTGTTTGCAAGTCTCTCTTGGTACAGTTTCATGTAAGTGTGTGCAGTCACATAAGGACAATAAACCTCTATTGTTCAGTTTTGAGCCACATAGGGTAGAGACCCAGCATTTGTTTTCATTGATGTTGATTGTTAATGCAGTAGTATGTGGAGCATTCATGGATGAGAACAAAGCTAGCTGCAATCCAAAAGGCAACAGAGACTCAGACGCGGCGAACTTCAGCAGGGCTTTCATCTAACTATCTAAATTCCATAGATTCTCACTCTAGTGTGAAATTACTTGCTGCTTCCAAAGTCTTATTCTTTTCAGCATCTGCTTCTTGGGCCACTCTGTTCCCCTTCTGTATTGCACAGAAGTTTGGTCATGTTATCTAGAGAATACAGAGTGATTGTTAGGAAGTATTTCATTAATCACTTCCTTCTTGGGATGCCAAACGCACAGCTATGGAAGAGAAGAAAGATGACTTTGTGGCTGAAGCATGAGACGGAGAGTTCAGAAATATGGGATCTATTTCCTGCCTTTACTACTTGCTTTCTGACTTGGGTTTACTCTTATTCTTAAACTGTTTAGACTGGGAGGTCATTAAAGCAAGAATTTTGTTGCTCTGTCTTTTTTTCAAGTGCCCATTACATGTATGAAATAGAGATGAATAAGTAAGACAGGACTAGTTAATTAACTTCCCTACTTCTCCATCTTTTAATCTGTGAAGGGGAGATAATGTTATAATACCATTTCGTAAAGCTGTCAAACGAATTTATTCCATGGTAATTTTAAAACACACTGGAAATGAAAACAATGGATGATCGACAGGAAAGCTTATTTGCCTCAGCAGTAACGGGGTTTCATGGGGAGAAGCCCTTTGTAATGGCCACAGCACTGCTGTGGGTGTGAAAGATCCCTGCATTGCTTTGGACAAGTGCAATGATGTCTTCAGGCAAAACACATCTTGTGTCCATAGTGTTTTAAATACGAACACAGCGTGCATGGTATTGATTTCTGATTATATGACTGTATCAGTCAGGGGCATGAAGAGGCATCCTGAGAGATGTTGGCAGAAATACTCATGCAGATGTAATAATATGGGCAACACTAAGTTTCCTGTTTGCTCATGAGAACTAATTTTACTATTGATCTGCATAACTGTATCCACAAGGGTTTTTGATATACTATAGTGATGATTGTTTGTACAACGTGATAAAACTCTCCTACTACAGACCCAGCAAAAGCAATGTGCAAAGGCACAAAGAAATACTATGCCAGAGCCAGAGACCACACCATCCATCTCACAAACCTGGAGTATTGCTCAATTTTTTTCAACAGGATAAAAAAGCAACCACTGTTTTATCGCTGATTAAAGACCCCATGCCATTACACTTACCGACATCAGCACCACTGAGAGCTTTCCCTAATGGCCAGGGTCTCATGTCAATTATCTTTCCATTGACGCTGAGCGACTCAACGCAGCCCTGAAACCCGCGGCGCCCCAGCCAGTACACGCTGGGGGCACCACCAACGTAGAAGGGAGTCCGGAATGTAATTTTACTATATTGGCCCTGAAGGGAAAACAGAGGACAACATGATGTAGAACAGATATAGCACAGGATGACTAATTAAGCCACGCTATAATCAAATGTAATCAAGTATAATCAATTTTTTTTCTCCACAAAGAATTGTGTCAGGGGATATGCAGGTTGCTTACTGGTAATTCCTTTCCATTAGTCATCCCTCTACTCAGTCTATCATTTTAAATGTTACTTTTTGCACCCGTATCCGTCATGATAACATGGACTATTTAATGCAAAATAAAAAGCTTAAAAATCACTATGTTCTAAGGAGAGATTGTGATCTGTCTTTTATTGCAATTTCTTCCTTTACTTTTGCCAAAATTGTTTGTTTTCTAAACTCTAAGCCCTGTGGGACACAGACCAATGGGATATTGCCTTTTGAACAGAACCCTACAAGTGCTTAGTGTTGAGTAATAATAAAATGACAAAAAAACAACAGTAAAATAAAAGACAAGGCATAAACTGACACAATTACTACTTCAGTGGGGTTCTGTTCACTTTGCCAGCACTAATTTTACTCCCCATCTTTTTTTCGACCTTAACCTGCCTCTAGAAATGTATATACACATGTTTACTAATACTGTTATACTGCACATGCAGGTAAAAAAACACCGAAACCAAACTAAACACAACTTTTTGGACCATTGAATCAAACTCCATGCTTTGTGGGCAATGAATTCACAAATACTTTCATAAATTGATCAAAATAAATCTTCTGCCTCCTACTCAAAGGCTGTATCAAAACCTTGCCGCCCTTTAGAAGAAAACATTAAAAATTCCCACATTTATGCATGGCCAGTTTTTGCCAATGTGTCCTTCTGCCAGCTATGACCTTTAGCCTAAAAGCTCTCTGGATTTTCCACCCCTGCCCTGTCTCCTTGCTATTTATAACAACAAATTATATCCCCATAGCCTATGTTTTGTCAGGCTAAATAAACGAAGGTTATTGAGTCCATGGGTGTTCACTGCATAGTGCACTGCAGAAATACATCAAACCGATCTCAATTTCCACAGAGAAAAATAGTTCAGGTGGAGCCTGTGGCTAAAGAGAGTTCAGATATCCACAGGGTTTCACACTGGGCATATGGCCGGGCTGTGGGCATACAGCTCTCCAGCCCGTCTCCATCCACTTGCCATCTTCCATCATGTTTGATGCTCCTGCCCTCAGTCTGTCAAGCCCCACTTCTCTTTTGGGCACTCTCTAAGACTCTTCAAGTCAAAATGCACCAGGTCAGAAAAGACTACTGCTTTGCTGAGACTAATCCAGGGCATTCTGAGTAGGAAGGGCTCAGAAGGATCCACTGGAGCAAACAATACTACAGGAGCAGCAAGTTCTGGGGGAGAGCAGGACCTGGAGCAATTAACTTTTTTCTCTGGTATAGCTGCAACTAGAAAAATGTGTGTCCACTGTCAAAATCTTCTTGTAACAGAATCTGTGGACCATAACCATCCTACTAGCCCTTTGTTGCACCTTTACTTCTTCGACTTCATCTTTCTCAGCTATGGGTGATCACAGCCATGCGCAGTCAGATGCAGTCTTACCAAAGTGCTGCACAATGGCACTAGTCTTTACTGGACACATCTCTCCTGATTGACATTTGCCCTTTGTGTGGCCTCATAGCTTTGGTAACATATAGTAACACGTGACAGACACTGAAATCCTTTCCTCTGTCATTTCCACCTGATGAGAACTCAACATGCCCCATTTTTTTTCATTCAGTGCCTGCGCGTGAAAGCGCAAGTTACTAAGATGTCTGAAGCGGCTTTTTTTCAGGGCTAGGGATGGCATGCTAATGGTGTCTATCAAAGGGAAGAGGAAAGACATTTGAAACAATTTGCAACTGTCTTTTTTTCCAGTGCCTTAATTTCTCTTCTGTTTTCCTAGTCTGGCAACAGATGAGCAAGTCAAGACATCTTCCTCTATTATATTGTATCCTGGCAGCCTCATTCAAAATTGGTGGTGTTAACGTAAGTAAGAGCAGAATGTCTGTCTCCATTACTGTGCTTAAATCTATGTCCACGTTATATATGTAATTACACTTCTGTATACAAATCTTGTGTGGCTGTATGCACATTATACATAAATATATACACATAGGCATCTAATTTTTCTGGCTGAGGAAGCAGAGCAGCATTCTGAGCCTTAAAAAAGAAAGCAATCAGGGCCAGCAGCTGTAAAACGTGGCAAACTTTTAACAGCAGCCTGTCTGTGAAACTAGCAAAGTGTAGCAGGAGGGTGGCAGACCAAGGATGGAGGACAACTGGGATGTGATGGGATTCAGCACTGGGATATTTATCTACATGATTTTTAGACTGTGGAACTTTTTCTTTCTTCCTCTTTTTATGTGGAAGAGTCATCTGTACACCGATCCTGGTTCACTAAATGGCCCAACAATGATAAATAATAATGTACCTTTTAAATCTGATAGGACTTCTGAAGGCAAGAAAAAATGCCATCATAATCTCGAGAGAGCCCAAGGTCAAGCTGCAGGACTACCTACCTGAGATTTTCCTGTCACTGGAGCATCGCTGTCCATCCTGAGCCAGCCATTAACGCCGTCTCTGAACAACGTGACACTGTGCCAGTTCCCCAGCTTGATTTTATTTTCACTTGTTATGACTGCAACTCCAGTGCCACAGTTGAACCTGGGAGTGTGAGACAGAGAGCGTAAAGCGACAATCTTACGTTAACCAAATAAGTGAAAGCCAGCTTTAGACTTCGAATATTCCCTTCACTCCTGGGAACCTCTCTGTTTCACATGGCATATTAGTAGGCCACATGAAAATTAGACAGCAGGTCTACATATGATCTGTTCTAAGTTTCAAACTTCATTATCTTTCTCCCACAGAGAAGGTTTTGCATTCTCTAGCCATACCAAGTGCATTGCAAAGCTTGCCAACAGCTGAAACTGTTTCAAGATGGAGGGTATTACAATCTGAGTTTCTGCTATCACAGTAATTTCACTTGGGAATTTTTCTAGCTTCCTGGTGAAACGCAGTACTACATTAATAACTGTGATTCTACATGAAACTGAGTCCTGATTTGCAAGGAAACTTCCAGGAGAGTCTCTGTGGAACTGAATGTGTACAAAACGTGCTGTTTTCTCTGACTGCGTTCACTGCAGGTGAACAGAAACACAACTAAGGCACATTTTTCACTTTCTTATTCCCCACTTTCAAAGGACTCACCCTCCCAAGTAAGGAGATCATTGAGATACTCTTTCATGTGTTTCATACCTATGGGACTGCAAGAAACACCCTCCATCCGCATTTAAAAAACCTGCAACTGCCATCTAAACAAGGGATATAAGATGAAGTTCCAGGCCCTTAGCTGGCATTAAATCCTTTGTTTTGCCATGCTATCTGCAGGTGCTTTTGCTGTGAAGCAAAAACGTTGACTACGCACACCTCAATACAGCATAAGCTTAGCAAATGCGGTGGCCTCACTTGCGTTTCTGATAACACAGCAATGAGCCCCGGACTAATGTCTTGAAGGAAACTGACTATTTTGCCTCTAAACCACGATAAAAAGAGTTCAACAGGGCACATGTCCACACACTAAAAAGGATGAGAGACAAAAATATTGAAGAATTGTTAAATGAAGTAACGCTGTCCATTTTGTGCACTGCATGGAGCAGAAGTCAAAGATACAACAGATATTCATCTTATACAGTCTCAGAAGGCAGCAAAGGCCCCTTCTCTTTTCATTAGATTTAGGGTGCAGGTTTTACCTGAACTGGATGCTACGTCGGATGATTGCTAGTGACATAAAATCACCACGACCGTGTTCATTCTCTCCACAGTATAGCAGCAAACCATCTTCTGATTCAGCCTGCAATCACAGCATCAACATGAAAAATCAAAGTCTGAGCCTCACAGTGACAGAAAAACACAAGCAGTACTGGGGGACTTTTTTCCATAAAAGGGACAGCATTTTTCAGTTGGAGTTTATAACTTGCAGAATCAGAAATCGGTTGATCAGTTTTGAATCTTGCATTTGAAGAACCTAGAAAAACATTGCCTTAATGCTTAAATGGTTTAAGAACATCTCTTCTACTTAGAGTATGATGCTATCAGACCTAAAAACAACCCTAATGCTTTCAATTAAGGACTGTCAGACATGTCCCATATGAGACCTCTGAGCTTACAGTCTAGCAAGGATGTCCTAGCAAGTCTGTTAAGTGCAGACACATTGGACTCACTGCACACGAATACACACACCCCACCTCACGCGTGCAGTGAGCCTGACACTTTTCAAGTCGAACACCCTGTGCAGGCAGGATTTCTCCATATGTGCGGAGCAGCAGACACAGCAGCTTTTCACAGCCATCCTGGGTTTTCAGCTGACGAACCGCCAGAGGGGTGTCAGATCATCACCTGAGGCAACAGACTGCTGCTGCTCTGACAGTCTCGTTCCCAGGCTGTGAGGCTGGCAAGTCTGCCTTACCTGGGCGCAGGGCTGCATCAGACAGCTCGGCCACCCTCCCTACAGGCAGCTCTACCAGCTCTGTCCGTAATGCACAGACAGCATTAACACAAGTCACTGAGGGATGTACACTGCAGAACTGTAGCTTAAGTAGTCCAATATCTTGCATGTGGTAGTAGTCACTGTCCCAAATGTCAGCAAACAGTGGAAAATAATGTCTACTTAAACCCTGCATGATAGGAAAGGAACTCTGAATACAGAGCAGTGTTTTGCTCAGTACAAGAAGACCACAATTTCTTATGTGCAAAGATACCGCATGCCACTGCCAAACTGTAATTCACAAAAATTCCATTCACATGGCTATGACTTTGCCAATGTACATTGCTGCTAGTCTGCAATGCCAGTAGTCCCAGTGATCTTCTCATGCGCTGCCTACCAATAATGCAAACATTTCAGCCCAGATTACCAGCTTCATTCACACTCATTGAAAGTGAAGCCAGATCTTTAGAGGTGAAGCTTATGTGTAGGTTCACCACAATTACATTATAAGCTATACCGAAGCTAAGTTATCGTTCCATTGTCCACAACATCAAAACAAGCGAATCAAATTTAAAGCTCCTATGTGAGCTCGGAATTGCTTAAACTTACCCTGAATTCAAGGGTAATTTGAAATGTCTGATAGGAGTTTTTCAGTGGTTCAAAGGTGATGTATGAGTAGCCAGAGAACTGAGGATACTGGATAATAATATCTGAAAAGCAAAGACAGAAGCATGTTATTTAGCAGTTTTCTCCCATATAAAAATCAATATACACATTTAGTACTAGATAACATCCCATGAAAATGCAAGGCAGAGTTCCTCCAGAGACAACCATTAGTCAGCAGCTGTCAACAATCAGTTAACCTTCTGCCGTGTCTTCCCATCACCTTTCACAACTAATTCTTTTATTCCCAAAGACCTGGTGAACTTGGAAAGAAACACAATACTGAGGGCCAAATACTGCTCAACAGTTTAACTGCTGGCTTCAATGGAACTTTCTCCAGATTTTCATCCTTGTTACAGAAGACAGAACCCATCTATTTTGCATTTATCTCCTTTTAAGAATTCATTTAACACAGAGACAATAAAGTAATTTTCTGTTTTGCAGGATTACAAAAAACATATGTGGGAAACGTGGCCAGACTCCACGCCGTGCTAGTCACTGCTGCTCCATAGCTGCTGTGTCCAGCATCTGCAGAATCCTTGGATGGCTCATAAGAGCCCAGCAGCTCGCAGCACTTCCCTCAAGTCAGCTCAGGGCAGAAGGTAAAGGGAGTGATGGGGAAAAGTGTCCCTGCAGGCAGCTCTCCATCCCTGGATGCAACAGTGGCCTTTCATATTGCTCTTGTCAGCTGGTGTTATCAATTTGTTGTCTTACGTTAGAGAACCATCCCGGCTTCAGCACAGCAGAAGAAAATCAGAGAGAAGTCTCACTGCTACCTTTGCAGATTGTTTTCCTAAGAAACACTGAGAACAGACATAGTTTCAGGACTGAATTCTTATTTTTGAAGTGGATCTGAGTCTAATGAGGAAGGAAGGATGAGGAGTCCTATTCCTCTTTGCTATTTGAATAGTGAGTGAGTTTTTCTTGCATATCTGGATGTAGATACAGCTCTCAGCCTTTTTGTTTTCCAGGCATACCTTTTAGGTTGAGCTGAAGAGAACCAGTGTACTATAAACCTGGATGTGACTGCAGCAGACAGCAATTAACTCATGTCCTGATCACAAGCAGAACTGACTGGACCGGAGTGTCATGCAGCTGTTGATCGTAGAGAAAAGTCTGTTTTCATTCAGATTAATACACTATTTAACAATATTGGCTGCTATGGAGAAATTCAGTACAAAGGAATATTGGTACACGATGCTACTGCTTGCTAAGGAATAACACACTCCCTTGTGAAAAATGGTGGGTTTGGACTGACATTAACAAACCCGTTCTACAAGTTGTATACAGTTATGTCACTTCAAATAAGTCCTCAACTCTTCATACTTGATCAAGGTCCAAAATCACATCTGCAGCTGTTCCATGTGGCTGAGTCACAACAGATTGTTTTCAGGATGAGTTCTCTTTACTCCAGCACTGAGAGGAGAAGATCAAACACCCTCGATGTCTGTATCCTCGATGCATGACACTGTGCATCACAAACGCCTAACACCAGCCTGCAAACGTGTGTGCCTGGTGCTCTGCTGTGTGGCAGGGCCGTGGTAGATCAGATCAGCATGCAGAGGGGCAGATCAGCTCTTTCTTAGCTGGTGGGACAGCACCACTACAAGCAATGGGATATTTGCTTTGCATGAGCTCTGGCATTCATCTGATCCCTTGGTCACCAAACCAGAAGAAAACTCCAGAGAGGAATAAAAGTGGCCTACTTATGGCCTGGTAAGCTAGTTGAACTGGCTCACCAGGTGATCAGCTCAACATCAGACTCAATGAAAGGGCAAGGTTAGGACTGCAGAGGAAGAGGACAGGAAGATGGCAAGAAAAGGAGAAGCAGGATGGCCTCCTTCAGCTCAGCAAGCTCTTGCCCTGGCTCATGTACCCTGCAGAGAGGCAACAGGACATGTGGCAAGTCCTGACTGGGACAACCACATCTCCTTACCTTGACACAGGCTTCAGGTCATGCTTTCTGAACTGGGGAGAGGGTTTTGTTCCTCCCTTGCCCCAGGCTACCCGACACAAGTGCTGGGTCTACCACTCCAACACTTCTGCCCTGCAGACCACGGGGAAAGCCTCCTCTGGAGATAGCTTTACAACTGGAACTTTGTCTCACAGACCTGCTGCAGGATCATCATCACCTGATGGACCACTCCGGAAATGTGGGTGGTTCATGGCTTCAGCTGCAGGCGAAAGGCAAGGGTCAAAGAGGGGCTGAGTGTCCCTGATAGAAGCTGTGGATAACACGGCTGAACCCTGTCAGGCCTGGATGCCTACCAGCACACCTGGCTCCTTCACCCTCCCACTCCTAGGAGGTGGAAGGAGGTTTAAACTCCCCTGTGCACATACACACGGCATCTGCATTCAGCTTTATTAAAGAATAACTTATTCACACCTAGCTGAGGACAGAGAAGCAGAGAGGCCGGCGTCTGAGCTGGGATGCTGATGATCTCCTGATGGGATTCTAAGCTGCTGCTATTCTTAGGGATCCATCAAGCCCAGCTGGCTATTCCCAAAGCTCACTTTGGTTGTTTCACCGCGAAGCCGCTACTTGCCCCAGACAAAGAGAAGCCAGCAGCAGCGGGCAAGCAGAAACCTACCTTCTGCACACGTCTCTCCTCCTTTTCCCAAGTTGCAGTGGCAGCGTGAGCCGCCACGGTCATAGTCATTGACGCAAAAGCTGTCTGCAGAACAGACAGCCTCATCACAGGAGAGATCGAAGAGGCGTGTCGCAGAAGACACGCTGCCCCTCCTCGCTGCCCGAGACGTAGTCGCCCTCGCTGTGGTTGAAGGCCGTGTGGTGGTGGGAGTGGAAGTAGTAGGTTCAGAAGTGGTTGTAAGAACCCGTGACAGGAGCCTGGAACTGGCCCCTGGTGTGACCTTAGTTTCGACCAGAAATTTTCTGTTGCCTCCTTTGATAGCAGGAAGTGGTCTGAACTGAAAGGAAATAAAGAAACATAAATTAAGTAAAACCTAAAATGCTATGTTGAAATTAAATTAATACCTTTCAAGATACAGATCTGAGGTAACAAATTCATCCTCACCGAAGAAAAAGAAACAACTACATTATTATATTTGAACATATAATATCAGATATTAAATTTCCTGATGAGATCAGACATTTTAAAATAGCGAGACTATAAAGGAAACAGAAATGCCAAAGCGGAATCTTGAAATTTACCTCTTCTATGTAAATGTCGTAGTCTGAGTCATCGATGTCAAACCCATCATCGTCACCAGTCACTGTGTCTGTGATATATCGATGCCCATAGCTTCCACTTCCTAACTCCTCAGAGCCTAAAAAGACACAATTGGCATATTAAGTTCATACATTTCTTCCTTTTTACACACAGCAACTCAGATCTTACCGCACTCTGATTCACCACACTGAAATCTGAAGTGGTGTTAATGTTCATCCTGTACAGACAATGCAAGCGTCAGCCTGAAGATGGGAGACACTGTCCAGATGATACACATTCGACTTAAAACAAATTGAAGACCTCCATTTAGTCACTTACTGTGATTCTCAAACAAAGCAGGCAAAGCTCATCCATCATTCTTCCAGGAGAATGGCTCTGAAATTTTTCAGTGTGGACAACATTTTAATAACTGTATTGTTTTTCGATCAAACTTTTCCGTTTTATAAATACACAGTCTTACATCTGCCCTACTGGCAATCAAATAACTGGAACAGCAAAAGAGATGTGTCTAGGTAGGGCTTGTTTGGTACACTCTGCTTAGGACTTCATCTGACTCCACTGGCTCCAATGCTCCTGAAATTAGCATCCTAAGTGTATTTTTAGGCTATTTTTTGAAACACAATTTTGCACCTTGAAAAAAGAAACATGCACAAACATTATGTGCTTTTCATGTGCATAATCTGCTTCTGCCTCTCCCTGGAGAGTTGAACTGTGCTGTGAAGGACTCCAGGCTGGGAACGGCCAGTTTAAATAGTAAGAGGGTCCTCATACAAAATATCTGTGCTTTTCTGCACTTTACATAGCTTAAACAATGGTTTATGCTTTTTAGCTATTAAAATTTACAAGAAGTCATGAGAAAGACAATACAAGTAACTGCATTGTTATTGTTACTTGTCTTTTCAGCAAGGTTAAGAACAAACATTCAATAACCATTAAAACAACACACTTGATACATTTGCCTTTTCCATAAAATATTTTGCAGTCACTTGAAAACAGAATAGGTAATCCTTGCTTTACAAAGCCTCTGTAGAGGCTGACCATGTGTGCTTGTTTATTTTAGCAGCCACAAGCTGCCCATATTTTCTTGTAAGTTAGCAGGTCCTTCACATTGCAATGTGCAGAGACACAAAGTCTTGCTGGATAGTGGCTGACTGCGGAAGGGAGATCTGACAAGCCAGAAAATGCCACTTGATCGTAGCAAGAGCTTCACTACTACTACTGAACAACCCAAAAAAAACAGTGAAAGCTAACGAGACTCAGTAGAATTTCAGAGGGAGCAGCATGGGCACGGTGCTATGAGGCTCTTTGAGCCAGTCAAACTGGGGTCAGCCATCTCCTGCCTAGGTGGAGAATAAAGGAAAAATATCTCACTGATCTGATTCAGGCAGGAGACCACTTGTCTATATCTTGTACTCTCTTTTCTTTTGCCTTGACTGCAACCCAGAAACCCTGGCAGGCAGTTAAGAAATCAAGCACACATGCACCAGACACGAACGCGTGCCCTGGATGGCTAATTGGCCACCCACCATACACACTGTGAGAGTTACTTATCAATGGGCTTTACATGGTACATTAAAATATTGAAAAATCAGAGACAAATGAGTAGAGCTAATGAGGCACACACATTTGCAACCAAAATAACATGGTAGGCTGGGAGAGAATGTGTATTAACCTTTCCACTCTAACATATACACCTAATCATTTGTAAATAACACAATTTAACTGTATATTAAACAGAATTACTCAGCACAGAGTTCTACCAACTGAGCTAAGCAGAGAACTCACAGCTTTAAGACTGATGATGAGATGAGGCCAACTGGACAAACTATATCCAGATTATGTCTGCCAGTGACTGTGAATGTACAGGTAAAGCATTACTACTGTAGAAACAGACTGCACATTTATGAACTGGTCCCAGTCCTGCATTCATTATGGAAAACAATAGGTATTATCAAAACGTGGGCACAGCCTCTTACTACTAGTATTCACCTGTACGGTCACTCTGGTTAATCATTATCACAAGATGATTTTGCTCCAGGTAGGAAGAATAGAACGGAATGAATAGAATAGAATAGAATAGAATAGAATAGAATAGAATAGAATAGAATAGCTCCATTCGAAGGGACCTACAACAATCATCCAATCCAACTGCAAGGTTGACCTCTTCCATCTATCACTGCATCAGAATCTCCTTCTTTGGCAACAATGATTTTATAAGACATGCATTTATACAAAATAATTTCAGTGTGCAAAATCTCAAACACAAACATTACAAATGTGACTTGCAGTTTAACAGAAATTATACAAATGAAGCAGAGCCGAGCACCAACTCAGCTCCCAGCAGATGTAACAATTTTCAGCTCACCGGAATACTGTTGCTTTTAAGTCAGTCCTGTAATATTACTTATTGCCTTTCTACTGTGTGCCTGAAACTATTTCAGAAATAATTTAGTTCTTCTAACTGATGAAACAGTAATTTACCTAACAGTAACAGATGTCATAAAGTTAAGCTGGGAAAAGGAAAGGAAAAATCACAATCGCATCTCAGGGAAAACAATCTAATCTGTATTCAAACAAGCTGTGATACACAAACTCCATTTTCTAATTTAGACGTCACAAGCTACAAAACAAACGTGTTGTAGTCCAAATTCTGCCACATTTTTTCTCTTCTCAAGCAAACTTTCTATTGGCTTAATGGGGATTAGGTTCGATAGGATGGCAGGAATGAAGTAATACAGAGAATGAAGTATCTTCATATTCACACGTAGGAAAATCTTAGGTCTTGAATTCACATTCAGAGATGCACATTTGCTTGCATGTATAGATATGGTTTTAAGCCATGCCAGTTTTATAGAAGTGTAACTGTCCTAAATAGAGTGTAGTTATCACTAAATTACATCAATAACCACCAGCAGGCAATGAGACCTCATAACTTAGCAGAGACAGGCAGTTCCCCAAGTAGAAGGTGTACCTCTTCGACCTATCAGAGCAAAATGTTCCATGTTTTTCCAATGGAGGACCTTGGGAGATGAAATGTACGCACTATTTTAAACCAGACAATGATTCCTTTCACCCTATTGAACTGGTACAACATTTAGGGCCTGAGGAGATGAAAGAAGTTATGGCTTATTGTGCCTGGTAGAAAAGACTGCTTTGAGGTCCTTCTTCAAAGACCTTCAGGATGTAAGATTGGCATCACCAGGAAAAGTGTAACTTTGGAAGGTGTCCTAGTATCCACAGGTCTCTCATATGGCCCCAAATGTCTGCTTTCGCTCCCCCTGGCTCCATCTGAGTTTCAGCCTGCACATGCTGCGTTACTCTACCTGCCGATCCGTGAGCAAGTCTGGTAACGCATAACACCCCTAGGAGCAATGAGCACACGGAGATGTACTCTCTTCTAACTGTGCCCGAATTCACACAGGTGAGTACACACACAAATCATGAGACCATCTAACAGCCCACTGGCTTCTCAGTCACCCTACTCTGCCCTACATTCAATGTTTGCTCGCTGGCTGTGACATGATACCCACGTGACATGATGCAACAAAACTGCAAAATAACAGAAGGCAGAGAAGCTACCACGATTTTTTGTAGAGAAACCCTCATGCAAGCCCATCGCGTAAGAGCACAGTGTAGCTTTGGTGGAGAGCTCATCTCATAATGGGTAGCAAATCAGGGACAATTAAGCAGAGTGATTCTCAGCAAATACCAAAACAATGACTACAGAGATTAGAAGTGTGCTATATTTCATTAAATCAGTGTTTCAGTGTACAAGGAGATGAAGACAGTTTAAGACCCTTTACCAGGTCCTATAATCCTGTTTTATAATTTTTTTTCGGGGGGGGGGGGGGGTGTCAAGAACTTTAGACAGCTTCTTTCCAAATAATCAGGGATTAAGTTATACCAAAGAAATCTTTCTCAAAATAAAAAAAAAGGCACACAAACTTTTGGTTTGCTGATTAGGTGGCCACCAGCGTACTGCTCAGGAGACACAGGGAAGCGTAGGAGGAAGACCATCAGGAACTGCAACACAAACAGAAAATCTTCTCCCTTTGCTATCTCCAGAACACATCAACATCACTTACAAGATTTGGGCCCGAAGAACCGGCATTTTCTGATGTCTGAGCCTCAGCAGACACATTCAAGCACTGTGAAGCATATTTAAGCACCTGTGCCAATGCAGTGCTCAGTAGGAGCCCGACGGTGATGGCCAGGACCAGAAGAAAGGATGTACCCAGATTAAGCAGCCACTTCTGTCACATCTGCTGTGGAGGGTATTTTTAACAGAAGACGCTTCCTCTGTTGGTCTGGCAAAGCCCAAGGCTGGTGACCTTCCAGGCACAGTGCAAATCCCATCTGTTTCCCCAGGAGATGAAGGGTATTTAAGCGATGCAGGTGATGACACTTTGTTTGATTCTTTGGGACAGTTTATTTTGTCGTTACTAAACTTGACATGTGAAATCTTTTTTTCAAGTAAACTATCCATGACACATTGAAAGATTTTATACAGCAAAAAAACAACCGTATAAGTGAAATACCTGCAACCTGCATCAATAATTAAGAAAGGCAACAAAAATTGATTTATTACATCATTTCCTGTTAGAAAAAAAAAAAATCAAATCACAAATAAATGAGAACCCCTGGGGGAACTTGCCCTCTCTTTCCTCCCTGAAAACGGAGCCATGTAACATAAACCAAGCATGTGTTTTTTACTAGGTAAGAGGGTAACTGCTTATAATCAAGGCCGCATGTTCTAGTTGCACAGACCTTGGGAGGTCTGTCACATGAGGTGATACCATCGGCAACCCTTCAAAGGAACATTTTAGCAAATAAAGACAATAGTTTTCTATGCTGACCTGAAACAATGCAGTCAAGTGTATTGCAAAGACAGCCACCTTTTAAAATCAAAATGAGACAATTACATGCAAGAACAAGATAAACCCCACCAGAAAACATCCCCAAATAGCATAGATTCCGTGTCTGCGGGACTCATCTCTGTCTCAGCCTGCCTACAAGAGCTGCGAGAAACTCTACGCAATGCAGCACGGACGCTGAATATCCTCTACATTTGAGGTAATCTTGTGAATTTCTGCCTCAGTTAAAATAAGCATCAGAAAAGCTCTAATTATTTCAAAACAAGTATAAAAATGCAGGATATACAAGCATAAAGCTACAAATTTTAAAAATCCAAACACACTAAGGACCTTAGTGCCAGCATGATGTGAACTAAGTGTAATGCAAAGGAGCCAGACATTGTATGGACTTCTGCCAGCTTCCTAAGATATTTCAGGTATTTCTGAGGAATATACAGGCACTCAGAAAATAGCATCAAACATCTGTGGCATGTTTCATTGTTTACATGGGAGGAGGTATCATTTTAATGATGAAAGAAGTAATTCCTACTAAGCACACCTCAGAGAAGGTGCATCATTTTTAGATACGTCAACTGTCTGTCACCCTTCCAGCACCCATAGGTGACTAAGAGTTATGTTCTGGCACTTGGAGAGATTCAGGCATCTGGTGCCATCTGAGATGCATTACAGTGTCTGAGACACCCCCAGAGGACCATCAGGTGTCTGGGAGATGCAAGGGAGGCACGTGTCCTCTTGCAGTGACAGCTGAAAACCACAGGAACTAGCGGACCTCAAATCCACCAAATATCTACATCTGAGCAACAGAAGTGAATAATTAACTGGGCCAAAGAGGGTAATCATTGGCTTGCTGGCTACTAGAAGGGGGAAAGTACCTGCAGATACATAATGTGAACTACCAGTAAGTTTTATTTGGTTGCCCTTAAGCATAGCATGCTTTTTTTTTTTTTTTTGTTACGTTAAACTTGTCAACAGTTTAAATCACTCTTCAGGGTTTTTTACTGTTTTGGGGAAAAATAAATGTTCAGGCTATGCATGGCTTTAATCAGGAAATTTTTTTACAACAGAAGTTTAGCTTTTCTACTAATGCACAATGTACTTGTGTATCTGGCTATCATCAAACTAGTTTCTTACACAGACATCACCACTAAAGCCAAGTGAGTGCTGCTATACTTAGTTACACTCCTGCTTCCAGAATGTCACAGAACTCTTTTTCTAAAGGCACGCATCCTTTGCTGCCTTTCAACACCACTCCTTGCTCTGCAAAAAGCTGGTTGCTATGAAGACAGGTATCCTCAAGATAACACAGGCTTTCATGGGTAGCGGCTATATGTAGTTTTTAAGCCTGTTTGCAAAATCCACCCCGAAAACCAAGAGCAGACTGGCAAAGGAACCACATTTGCATTTGCCAAAGGACCCAGAGTTCACCAAAGTAGCCCTAAGCACAAGTGAACAGGTGTGGGGCTGGAGCACGTCACGGATGCAACGTGGCCTTGGGCTGTGGGAGCTCTGCCCGCTCATCAGGGTCTCCCCCAAGCACTACCAGTCCCTTGGTGCAGGGGGACCAACCTCTGAGCCACAGCAGCATCCATGTGCCTACCACAGACTGGCACAGAGCCTGATCAGAGAGCAGTGCAACACACATAATACGTTCACTTTTCAGTTCTGATCCAGGCAGAGAGAGCCAAGCTCATGTCCTCTGTGAACCTCTCCAGAAACCAGTGTTGACACACACTGGGAGTGAATTCTATTCCAACCTCTACTGACAAAAAAATAGAGCCATCTTGACAGGTCTCTGCAGAACAGGTGGGTTCCAAAGGCAAAGTGACTTTCCTAGAGTACCGCAGTAATAAGCGCAGCACGAAGACTAGTCCACCCTGACCAAAGAATGCTGCCACTCACATCCAAAGCTAAACAGGATATCAAGGAGCGCATAAGCATTCCTGAGGCAGCAGGAGCTGACCCTTGAGGATCCAGGGGCTAAGGAACCCCAGAGCGCACTGCACCTGTGTGGTTTTCACACACATTTGCTTCAGAAGTTAAACTTACAAGTTCAGCAGCTGTAACAAACTTCATGCAAACTGTTCAAGGCTCTGAATTTATGACAGAGGGGGGAAAAAATGGAAAATGTCATATAAGAGTCAATGAAAACAAGAGATTCCAAGATAGGGAGGCAATTTAGAAATAAACCCCTAGCAGGTTAAACTGGCATGCAATGTCTTCTTGCAGAGCTCACAATCCTACCTGAATATCAGCCGTTCATTTTCTACCAGTTAATTAAAGATGATTTGCAATTGAGCACGCAGGTGAGAAAAGAAAAAAAAAAGTCGGGTTTATTGCTCTATTTTATAGTTCATTAATCTGCTAAAATTATATCCAGGCATTTTCTTGCATGGTATTCTGTCCCCTATAAATGCCTTCAAAACTCGAACTTAGAAGTACTGAAACATTTTAAACACAATAAAAAGTTTGGCACACTAAGGATATAGTTCAGTTAGTGCCCATACCCTGCCAGCCTTGGCTCTGCCTCCTGCACCGACACTCTTTGTGACATTGGGTATTTTGTTGTGGGAGAGACGTGATTCATACAACTCCCAAAGTGCTCTGTGTCAGCTTGATCAGGATTCTCACATTCAGCTACAACTTTGGGGGTGATGAGGAGCAGCAGCACCTCAAAATCAGCCCACAGAGACACTAGCACTGACAGAGGATGACATCCTGAGGAAGGCCATCAGGAGATGTGCGCAGGACCTACCCCTGATTGAAATGTTCATGGCTTACATTGCTAAAAAAATGTGAATATAATCGTTAAGAAGTTGTGATTATTCAAGTGTGTTTGAATGCCTTTTCACCCAATATTTTTGCTACAAAACTTCTGATCAAAAAGGGATGCTTACTTGTTTATATCATTATTTTCATGATTGTGCTTAATAGTTTAAAAGCCATACTCCTCAGAAAACAGTATAGATTTGCTTTAGTCTTTTCCAGTTAAATTATAAATGTAATATATACAGTTCAGTTTCAAAGAATAGAGAAAAAAGATGAATGATAGACTTGTGTCTCTCATTTCTCCCCCTGTGATTCACTTATCAGTTCTGCAGGAAGTCAGCACAAAAGTCAGTAAGTAGCGATCCAAAAATATCTGGCAATGACCTCCAGAGCAGAGAAACAGCAGAAGAGCACTTCTGACTGCAGCTTTTCAAATCTTTGCTTGCGGCTTGACTTGCACAGGATGCTGCAAGCTCCACGGACAGGACCCAGAGGTGTCAGACCGGGGGTGCCTGTGCTTGGGCAACGACTCTTTCCACCAGCAGCCCTCCACAGGCTACCCCAGATACACTTTATTTACAGATACATTTTATTTTTATATAGCTTTAATTACAAAATGGTGGTTCTACTCACTGAACGTTTGGATGATGTCGCTTGGCACACTGGCAGGGCTGGATCCGTAGGAGTTTGCTGCTCGGACGGCAAACTGATACTTGGTATTTGGGAGAAGTCCCTTGAGAACCATGGATTCCATCTGGATCTGCTCTCTTATTACTGTCCAATTGCTGTCAAGGTCTGGCCTTCAGGATCAAAAAAACCGAAGATGATAAATAATTAAAGCTGGCTGTATAAATTAATTACCTTTAAACTTTCCTGGGAAATACATAAAACAAATGAGAGATAAGCCTGCTAAATCATCACTGAAATCCTTCACTCTTAAGGGGCCAGACTGTGCAACCATTACTAAGCTGCAAAGCCTGTGATATCAAAACTCTATAGTGATACAAAACCAATATTCAGATTTTGCTTATAAAGTCAAGGAGGTTGTTTAGTGGAAAGTTTCTACAAACTCAGTTCTGTTTATCTGTTTTCATGGATTTTGGCTTCACAGTTTTCAAGTGGAGGTGTATTAGGAATTCTCTATCTCCTTTTTGGCTGTATAAAGCAGTATTTTGCAATGGAGGGAAAGATCTTGATTTATTTCTAGGAGTTTGTGCTCTAACACCACTAAGTGCCTTCAAGTATATGCAAGCATTAGCAGGATGAGAATCTAACACTTGATGTCCCAGGCAATCAGGTTAATCCACTCACATTGAAAAATCTGGATCCAAACTCTTCTCTTCAAGAAAAAAAAAAACACCAAAACAGAACAATAATGCAGAGAATCTAGCCTGTATATGTGGATTTTGCATGAGAATTCCCACATCTGCTTTTGGAAGATGCCTGGTTAACTCCTGATTCATACTGGAAGCCAACTGCCAACAAACACTTGATCTAAGTGCTGTTATAGTCCATCTGAAAGCAGTACAACCATTCACATGGCAAGTTGGTTGAAATGTTTAAGTTCATATGCAGGGAGACATCAAAAAGGGGAGGGCTATTTCAAACACTTTGAGAGAGTATTCTGATGCATTGAGATGATTTTTTACTCCCTCTACAATTCATCTCTTCTTATCAAAAAGAGAATGGAATGAGAAGGTAAACAAACAAATACAAACAAAATAAAAATGTAAATGTTAAGTCCAGGCCACTCAAAATATTCAAATTGAAGCCTATGAAAGCAAATTAGGGACAGAAATGACTTTCAGAGAAAATTATTGCAGTGTCCTTTTCTAAGAGGTCCTCGTGATATTTATTACAGGATATAACCTCCAAGCGCTCCCTGAATCTACCAATGTTTACATAGGACTCGCTGCAAATGTCTCCAACAGTCTTGAATGAAAATTATAGCACAAGGCAGGCATTTTGTATTTGTTTATTTGCAGCTGGAAGGAAATGCCAAAGGTAATGTATGTTTTCTTTTACCAGTCAATACAAGATTTATTGACCCCTAAGGTTTCATTGCTGTGTGCCAGCAGGGCCAATGCAGTCACAAAGCAGCAGCTCCCAGCTGCCCGGCTCCCTTACACCACGGCACATGGGGTGTGACTATTTCATTGTCTTGCTAAAAATAAAAATAAAACCAGACTAACGCAGAAGATGCAATGACAGCTAAACAGACCATCTTAAGTCACCCTCCACCACCATTTCCTGGTAGACAGCAGGGCATTTATTTTGGCTACTCTTTCATTGTCTCCTTTCTCTGAGCCTGGGCCAAAATGAAAATGCACAGCGTTTTCCAAATGAAAGCTGTTAACATCGCTTCCTTCCACATGCTTCATTAGTAGTGTTTTCAAATTTTCCTGTACGCATCTTTTTTTGGCTCTAGTTCCAGTCCAGGGAATCCCTGCTAGCTCAAGAGCTGCCTCCCAGTCTCTTTGCACAGACCCTGCTGATGTCTGTGCCCGAGTGGAAACATATGCCTCTGAGGAAGAGACCCGAAGGAGGCATTGCACCCTATGAGGATTTAGGAGGCAACACAAACCATAGGCTGGCCTACGGCTTCACTGTCTCTCACAAAACTTCCTTCTGCAGAAGCGAATAATAAAGGAAATGCCTGCA